TTCACCTCCGAATAGATGCAACTTAAATGCAATGACCTTCTCGGTGAATGGAAATGCAATGATCCTCTTGGGAAATTAAAAATGCAATGGCCCTCTTGGAAAATGAAAAATGCAATGGCCCTCTCGGCAAATGAAAAATGCAATGGCCCTCTTGGCAAATAAAAATGCAATGGCCCTCTCGGCAAATGAAAATGCAATGGCCCCTCTTGGCAAATAAAAAATGCAATGGCCCTCTCGGCAAATGAAAAATGCAATGGCCCTCTTGGCAAATAAAAATGCAATGGCCCTCTCGGCAAATGAAAATTCAAATGATGGATGACCCAATGATTTTCCACTGTAACGAGGTGGATGGCTCGGTGATTGTCCAAATGTAATGAGGTGGATGACTCGATAATTGTCCATTGTAACGAGGTGGATTGCTCGATTAGTACACACAATATCACTTTCGTTAGCGACATGATCAAGAAACTTTAAGGAAAGATTCACAAGAGAATGTGTATAAAGTGCTTGATCACATTGACACAAGTGAGCAACCATCACTTTGCTCTTGAACACTTTGTGTTCATTGTGACTCATGTCTTATTGGGAATTTGTACTAGGAGCTAGTGGCTCGCCATGACAATGCTGGAGATTTGCAAGTTAACTTTGAACTTCAAGCGATGATGGATCATTTGAAGTTGACTATCAAGCTTCAAACAGTACTTGCTGGAATTTTTGATGTCTTCCTCAAAAATTCTGTCCTAGTTAGAATTTTTTGGCAAATCTCAAAATGATCTCCAATCTTGATTTGCTGGAAATAACACCTTTATTGTGAATTTTTGAGAATATCTCAAAAATTCTGTCCCAGTTTTTATTACAAGGAGAAAAGAAAATCACACTAGGTATATAATTGAGCCATCGTGCCGCCTACATATCCTATTGAGCCAAGAATCAGGTCAAATGTAGTTCTAATCCTATAAATGATGAATACTGCAAAGAATCTGAGACAAGATTATCAGTAGAAAATGCATAATATGACCATGATAAAATAGGAAAATAATATTCCCTGCGATATTCAAAGCCTAAAGACAAGATATATCACATTTTTGGGACGGACAATCCAATGAGATAAAATAGGCGTCTCACACTGATAGGATTAACCTAATGACATTTTTTTACAATGAACAACCCAAAAAGGAAAGGCAAAATCTCTTTTTTTTCTTTTTTTTTCTTTTAATGGAAAGAAAAAAATGTTTTGGAAAATATTAAAGAGTGGGTGCTTGTCCCCTTCTTCTTTTTTTGAAATATAAATAACATAAAGAGACGGTCAAATCTTGACTACAATTTGTACCAGGAGTTAGGATCGCATGTAAATCTTTTTTTTTAAACTAAGATTGAATTCAAGGTAACTCTCACAGCTTCAAGTGGTACCTCAAACATACTTAAGTATCAACAAGATTTATTCATCTTTCTTCAAACAAAGATTTTGAATTGTACCAATCTTCATGTTTCAAGTGCCCTCACAAAAAGAAAAGTTCTATTTCACACATATTTGAATCATTTTATTGTAGGACATTTTTCAAAGTGTACTCACACTCACAAGAATGTTTAGTGCATGCAACAGTGATACCATATGTTTGACCCTTATGTAAATCTCCACTAATGTGAGAACATTTGGAATGAGATCCTGTATGACTTATTATTGGCTTGTAATGTAGGCGTAGGGATGGATATGATATATATTTGGGGTAAGAGTGACCTAATTCTTTCTTGAGCGTCACAGTGAATTTGTGTTTTTAATGATTGATACACCTTTGACGTCTGATCCTCTTATTTGTCCCCTTTTTTTTTGACTTCTTTAGAATTCTTATTTGTTGGAGCTTTTTCTTTTGTCACCCCTTTGTTTTGAAGTTTTCTCCTCTTTTGTTGAAGATTATTTTTTCTTTCTCTTCTCGTTTTTCATTGACCTTGTAGGGGTATTTTTGTCTTTCTTCATTTCTTTCCACCTTCTCCTTTTTTTTTCTTTTTCTTTTTCTAGAAGTCAGTTTTTTTGCTTCCTCGACTCTGGGAGACTTTGTATTTTTTGCCTTTGGCAACTGCAAACATGAAACTTCTCTTATAATTTGCACACTCTTGGTTCACTCAAGAAGGTTGGGCCAATAGAGAGATAGTACATGTAAGCACTAAAAAGGGGTAGTGTCTAAAATGTGGTTGTCCAAAGAAAAGGTTTCAGGCTCAAAGTGGAAAAAACTAGGGATCAATGTCATTTGATAGGTTTTGAAAGGCACAATCGGGTCAAAGAAGGCCTACAATCCTTTCCCAAACCAAACATAACTCAGGATTTCGCCTTGATAAACATTCAAGCCAAGTTCTAGATCAACAGTGCGATGCAAATGAATTTTGATCTAAAAGCTCACCACACAATGCACATTAAACCGTGAGGTTGGTTTTATTCTTATCTTGAATGCATGCAAGAGAATTTTGAAGAATCACAAAAGTACAAATGAGAGGTACCACAGGAATCTATGGTTTACCACAAAGTCAGTCATCTTCATCATATTGAATATTTCGCATGCTCCTAACTGTATTGGTCCCAACTGAGCTAAAGACATGACTCTTACAATATATACACAATATTTTTTATTATTTTTTTAAAGGATGAATACCGAACTCAAGAAGGGTTGCCTACGTATCTCATCGAGATGAGAATCAGGTGCGCGTAGTTTATGCAGATATGACTTTGAAAATATGCACAAACTATTTTACTATTTTTATTTTTTTTTAAATTTGAAAAAATGGATACCGAACCCAAGAAGGGTTGCCTACGTATCTCACCGAGATGAGAATCAGGTTCGCGTAGTTCGCTCAGATATGCCTTTAAAAATAAGCACAAACATATTTTTTTCTTTTTTGAACTTAAAA